ATAGAGAAAGCCGTGACAGGACGTATTTTGAAATTCGATCTACTTCGCGTATTTCGCCATCGGGGCCCGCTTGTTGTTTGGTATCGAGTTCTTTCGCACAGCTCGACACAACGCGAGCGCCCGTTTCGTTTCGTTATTTTGTTCTCGGCACCTTTCGAAAATCATGCCCGTCACTCCTTCTCTGTATACACTTTTCGAAGTAAAACTCCGTAGTAGGCGTTGCGAGGTTACGTGAAAAAAAAAAAAAAAAAAAAAAGAACAATAAATACACCCTCGCTCAGACTACCTGCGTACCAGTACGAAAACTCTGGTCGGATGCACCAGATTCGCTTGACGGCTGTCACACGATAAAATTCAGAGGAGCGAGCGTATCGAAGCATCACGTAACGAAGAGCTGTAGCAGTTTTCAAATGTCTATTGGCAAATAGCGCGGGAACGTCTAGATATACGGTTTGAGTTAATACGACGCACTGATGTACTGTTAAGTGGAAACGAATCGGATTTCTTATGACTTTTACGATTTTCTATACCCGCCGTGAGTGCGAGAGAGACGGAGCTGATGGGCACTCCCGTGCAAACGAGAAAGACAGAGATACCGATAATACAAATACCGGGCGAGAGATAGATACCCTTTCTCGAATCAGCAGTGACACGAATGCATCTTTGAACGGGGATAGGATTTCTAAACGATATGAAATATCGAAACGATCGATTAATCGATTTCTCATCGATTATCCTTCGGAGCGTACAAAGACTGTTGTTACAATGCAATAAATTAAAGGGGATTTACAAAATTTCGTCAATTATAGTCAAGGACGTTTTACGCATATTCGTATTATCGTAGCGTCTGTCTCTGTCTGACCCACGCCTATACCGCTAACACCATCTGTCTCGCACTCGCATCGAGTATAAAAAATTCGAAAATTCTTAAACGACTTCCCCGGATCCGATCGCTAGGTCGATCGACGCAATCGATAGTTAACCAGAGCTAATCGCATGACAATTGTATTATCCGTATGATTTCGTTAGGCACAAATAAACTCAGTATACACACAGAAAACACACACTGTAATCACACGCGAGTCCTTGTGCCTCGCGAGCCATTACACACAGTAGTGCACATTGGGAAATGTCAAGTGACCGTAAAGGACAAAAAAAAGCTCCAAACATTCGTAGCTCTAATGTAATTGCGTGCAATCGTGAGAGTCCATGTCCGCGTTTACCGGTAAAGGATGATGACCAGCGACGATAATGCTAATGATCATTAGGTGCTTGTGTACCGGTTGCAACAATGGAGCTAAGCCGCGATAACGACAATACAATGACAACAAGCGGTGCAGCGCGTGGCACGACTTCCCCTAACCTCAAAAGGCTTAACCAGTGCGTCGCCTATGCTGCGCAGCAGCTACGAGTCTAGTTACCGGGAAATTCAGAAGCGTGTCGCTGCTGTAGTGGCAATGTGGTCGGAGACGTCAAACCGCGAGAGAATCAAAGAGTCGAAAAAAAAGGACGATCATTGAGGATCGTCGAAAAATGAAACGTTATTGAGATTCCTTCGGAAATTTCGGTGAATCGGTGACAGAGAAATTGGCTTTTTTTTCGATAATACATCCGCAAAACGGCTCAAGGATGGCTGACGATTAATTTTCGAAATTCTCTCCTGCGGGTAGTTGGAGCAGTGAGGACGAGAGAGAAAGAGAGAGATTGTATGAAATAAAAAAAAATAACGGCGCTCATCAGCGTGAAGAGAGGAACCGGTTTAATTTCCGAGGTACTACTACGCTTCTTTATTAATTTTTTTAATTTTTTCTTTTTTTTTTTTTATATTTTCCCCACCATTTATCAAAGCGACTACTTCGACGGGAGTCTTTCTTTCTGCCTCGTGCACTTTTTTTTTTGTTACGTCCACTCTTTTTTTTTCGCTTCTTTCGTACTCGCACCTTGCACGACACAACACGTAGCGCAACAGTGCCGTGACTGGGACACTTGTTTACCTGCGCTTCGTCTCACGCCCGCTCACTTTCCTTTATTTCTAATTCCAGAATGACTTTTTTGTAGGATTTTTCAAATTCTCCCCAAGCAACCGCGTGACCGATAATATTTCCCCGTTACAGTGTCACTGACGTGACGGACAGACGTACCATTGAAAAATAAAATCCCAAACTAACGTGCCTCAAAAATTCTACGAAGCAGATACCACTGGCTCTAAATGTAACTCCCATACCTCTTAGCGCGTCAAAAAAAAATTATTTCCACACCACCCAAGTGCCCTCCGAAGCACCCTCTCAAGCGCAGCCCTGATAACCGGCAAGGCAAAGCGCAACGAGGTATCAACTGCTTCATAAAAATGAAGTTTAGTAAACTCGCACCCGCGTAAAATGCGCGCGATTTACGAGGCTCTGGTGTTTTTAAATAATATTTCCACGATACTTACGCGCGATCCAGTCTCCTTTGAAAAAGTCAAAGGATAACAACAGACACCGCGAGAGTCCGCGACGCAAAATGAAAATATTACATTGAACAACAGTAGCACAGCGATCGTTTCACGGATATAGAAAAGTTTCGGGCGAGGAAGTTCACTGCCACGGAAACGCCAACGATAACGTAAAATTCCGGCAACGGTGAGACCGAGCACGAGCGATACGACAAAGGAAGGAGCAAAAAAGAGAGAGAGAGCGAGTGGGGGGCGGGCCCCCGGCAGGGGTGTCGTGGATTTCCACGAAATTGCCGCTTTCACAGAGCGCGGATGAAGAGGACGGAAGACGTGAAGGGAGACGCAGGTAGAGCCCGTATATTTTTTTATTTTTCTCAGGAACGTACGTTACTTGCGGTTTTTTGAACGTGCGTGTATCTGGCTTCTCGAGGTGGTACCGGGAGTCACAAGAGACGATACGCTCTTCTCGTTATTCTCTTTTCTACAAATCGTATCCTTCCAGAGAGGGAGAGAGAGGCCCACGCACACGATACGAACAAGGATAGAATCAGCCACTTTGTGAAATAAATGGACAAGCACGTTGACTGTGGAAAGCATTGACATTGAGACTACTGCGAAAGACAGATGTAAAGAGAGAAGATAAAAAAAAAAGGAAAGAAAAATCTTTCAAAAGCAACGATCAACTATTGATACGACGCGTGGTGGTGTAAGCGTCTTCGAATGGGAGGGAGCGAAAGTGAAGGAAAAGAAAAAAAAAAAAAAAAAGAGTACGCTAGACGCCCGAAACCCACACTCGAATGCAAAGGAGTGTCGCGAGCAACAAAACAGCTAAAGTTTCGCACATATACGTGTTTTTTCATGGCCAATTTGACGATCCTTGCGTGGCGAATCCGTGGCAGCTTTCGGTGTAATCATTACCAATTATCTATAGTCCGCTTCAATGAAAGATTACAACGATAAACACTGTCTCGAGTAAGAAGCGGAAACGTGCGTGACCACGCATGGCACTCTACTTGTGCTGATGTAAATGTCACATGCTCTCCGGCCGAGTCCCCGCGCGTCATGGTGAGTTGTCAGCGAGAGTGACTGAGAAAATTTATTATCAAAAAATGTCACGGAAACGGGAATACAGTGTTGGTGATTAAGACACGCGTGGCACTTGGAATAATTCACACAGGGATATAGATATACACAGTGAGGAGTACGTAAAAGGGAAACTCGCGGCAGTGACAGTTGGCGGTAGCGTTGGTGTCGTACGAAGAGCGGGAAATTTGAAAAGGGCTCGGAAAAAACAAAAGAAAAAAGAAAGCACCGACAGACCAGTGACGTGGGGATAATCGAATACGCGTAAAATACGTAAATCGTAGTTGCTCGTATCACGCGCAGTATTTATTCTAGATAATTCACTGTTGGTATCCGTATAGTGTGTAGATTGACAGTACCGCGCGTAGACGCATGTCAAAACGCGGCTGTCATCACGCACGGGGCCGGTAGACACAGTTGCGAACGCGTGGAGTCGTCGACAGCAGAGGAGCACATGGGAGACACACGCACTATCCCTTTTTGTTTGGCAGTTCCGAAGGTCAGCCGATGTAAAAAGTGTCAAGCAGAGAGAAACATGCAGGCGTGCACAGGTGGATTCACATTGCGGCATATAATGCAGACATAAAGACTAATGGACAGAGTCAGTCGGTCAATCAGACAGGCAGGCAGGCAGGCAGGCAGGCAGGCAGGCACAGACAGGCAGACACAGGCAGGAAGGAAGGAAGCTTTGCGTACTCACGCTATATCGTTCGGTCGAAGCACGCCACTTTTCGGACGGACGCTCACGCACACGCTCGGAGGTTCACAGACTCGCCGTGAGCGTCGACGAGGGATTCGGCAAGGAAACGCCGGCGTGGAAAGGCGGCGGGTCGCGTCCGTTCAGAGTGCGTTTCCACGAGAGGACACTGTTCGGCGTACAGGGCGGTCGTATGCAACGTGTAGAGGGCCCGAAATCGCGCGACACAACACTCGTCAAAATGGCGTGGCCGCCCGCACCCGATCAGGTGGAAAATGCCGGAACGGTGTAGGAAAGATCGACTGACTGGCGAGGTCCGCGGCCCTAAGTGGTTTGACGTTAAGAACGAGACGAGAGAGAGAGAGAGAGAGAGAGAGAGAGAGGTAGAGAGAGAGAGAGAGAGAGGAGAGAAAGAGAGAGAGAGACGGAAGGAAGAGCGAGAGACACGACAAAGACGGAGAGGGACAGACAGAGTGAGCGAGGAGGATTGAGTTTTGCAGGGGGAGGAG